TAAATAAATAAATAAATAAATAAATAAATAAATAAATAAATAAATAAATAAATAAATAAATAAATAAATAAATAAAATGGAGGAGGCAGGCTTAAAACAGTGAAATGAGCCTCTGGAATGATGTAGTGGTGCTAGATTTCCTCTGAAATGGCCTACAGGCTTAACTAACAGCAGAAAAGTTAGAAACTAGAGGTGTTCAGATTTGTGTATTTGGACTTCCTTTCCTTTTGGACTTTTCTGGAAGCTGAAATCCAAAAATTTGAGACCTATAGTTCAAAATCATAAAGCTGCACACCTCTATTATGATCTTTTGACAGTATAAAGTTCTTAGACTCAAAGATCGAAACTAGAGGTGTTCAGATTTGTGTATTTGGACTATAATTCCTTTTGGACTTTTCTGGAAGCTGAAATCCAAAAATTTGAGACCTATAGTTCAAAATCATAAAGCTGCACACCTCTATTATGATCTTTTGACAGTATAAAGTTCTTAGAATAAACTCAAAGATCTACTCATCCTATCTGAATACATGAAGTCCTTAAGTGGTGAAAAGCAGAGAGCTCTTTGCCTGGACTCATTAGCTAAATTTACTGTACAGGTGCCAAGATATATAATTAAATGAGAAGGACCAGTCAGTTTAAAAATGCATTTTAAAAAAATACTAGCATTCTTCTAGCCTTGTGAAAATTTTTATTTTATTATGCTTCAGTATCAACCTGCCATAGTGTTCAGGATATTTAGTAAGTCTATTTAGTACACTGTTTTGAATGAATAACTCACCAGTGGATGGCATTTCTCATTTTGTTCCAAACAGGAGTTTATTGGTTCGCATTCATATCCATTCCCCCGAAACCCCTCTTTACATTCACAGTCATTCTGCATTGTAAAGGAAATATGGAATGAAATTATTATTTTGAAGTACATTGTCTACAAGATGCTGATTTTGTCAATAACTATTTAGGTTGAAGTATAATGTGCAAGCGGGATCTGAAGGCCTTAGGAATGGACCTCAACAGATGGGAAACCCTGATATCTGAGCGTTCAGCCTGGAGGCAGGCGGTGCATCATGGCCTCTCCCAATTTGAAGAGACACTTGTTTAGCAGGCCGAGGCAAAGAGGCAGTCCCGGAAGCAGCAAAATCAGGGAGCTAGACAGGGGACAGTGTGGAAGGGATTGTCACTCCCGAATTGGCCTTTTCAGCCACACTAGACACTGTTCCAAGTCCTCGATACAGAGCATGTTACCATAGTCTCTCAAGACTGAAGGATGCCTAAGACTGAATGTGCTTGATCAGCATTGGGAGCTGACGCAGAAAGTCATGTTGCTAAAGCAGAAAGCAGTTGCATGTGTTGCATGTGTGCAAATATAAACTTGTTTAATTGTTGCAAACTTTATCTTACAAGTTTAGTTAACCACACTGTAATTCTTATACTTTTTCTATTTTCTCTCACCAAGCTTGTATTGTAAGCTGTTTTTTAAAAAAAAAAACTACACCACCTTTCCAACAAAAAGGATCTCAACATCTACCAAAAATAAAATACAGATTTTAAAGCATAATTTTGATTAAACATAAAAGGCAATTAAATGCCCACCAATCAATCTTAAAAGCCAGGCAGGTTCATATGGAGGAACGCAACCTTTCAAACAGCCTGATTCCAAGTCATATTGCATAGGTGAAGTGCATGCTTGTAGGATGTTGCTGCTATCCATAAGCCTTTGAAAATGTCCAGAAATTTCAGCTGGCAAAAAACTGCACTGGATCAGGGCCGGTGTCTTGGTTCATTGGACACCATCCTCAATGTTATAAAGTTTAGGACCAGGGTCAAGCAAGAACCTTCTCATCCCAATCAGTTCATCAGTGTTAGGTAAAAAAGATAGCACTTCCAGGAGTCTATAGATTTGTTGGTTACTGGACTGTGTTGCCTCAATTCCTTTTTAAAAATTCTGTTGACTTTAAGTATTTTCATTTTTAACAATTTTGATGGTATGGCTGCTGTTAACAAGGGCAATAAGCCCATGAAATAATCTAGTGTCAATATCAGGAATATTATGGAAAGCAGAAACAAGAATAAGAGCCCCAGATCCCTTGGAAATATATATACTCATCCATAAGCTACAAACTTCAGGCCAAAAGTTATTAATTTGTTGTTGTTGCAATAATCAAAGTAGGTGATAGATTCTTGAATTCCATTGGATTCTGTATTACATGGAGAAAAATGACGCAGTATTATCATGTTGCAGCCATTAAGAAAGAGGCAGTTTGAGCTTACCTGACCTGGACCTATATAAAGGCAAGTAGCATTACTATGACAGTCTCCAAAATCTGGCAGCAGACAGTTATTGATTTCTGAACAGTCTCTTCCATTTCCTGTCCAACCTGGCTGGCACACACATTCATGGGTTCCCGGACCAGTCTTAATACATTCTGCCTGCAGGTATGTTAGAGTATATTAAATGTTACAATAACTTCTGGAATAATTGTAAATGTTATGTTACCATTTAATTTCATGGTTTTGCACATAAATTCTACTTCCACTGTGCTTCTCCCGAGTTTACAGGCAATCCCTAAAGTAGCTGAAAGAAAAACAGATTTTTCCAGACAACATTATACTGTTGCCATCTACCTCTGATGCAATGCATGTTATTTTGTAGTAACCTGGTTTTGAACGGGCAATTAAAAGTAATTCGTTTTACAAAAGATCTGTTAGAAACAGTTTGTTAATTAACAGAGCTCTCTGTTTGGGCCATCCTTGGAGATTGTCATGGTGAGCACCTGTTCCTTGACATTCATCACTACACCAGTGCTTTTGAGGCCACAGAAAAGGAAAGGGAAGCCATTATAGCCTGAAGGAGCTGCATGATGGTGGTGGATGGAGAGGAATTCAGCAGCAAGCAGGGCTAGAGCAAAGAGTGGATGGGAGCATCACCCCTGCCTCTGCTGCTACCACTTTTTCTCCCAGGATCCTATTTGAACTATTTGTGGTCTGAACAAAAGGGATGGGATCTGAGATTTGGTGGGCTGCAAAACTGACAGGGAGGGCACATGTAGCCTGTGGGTCATACATTATTCACCACTGGTTTCCAGGAAAAAAATGAATTTTATGGAGCATCATGTGAAATCTAGTGGGGTTTTTTTGTATTTTTTATAGTTACCGTTTTAAATGGAAAATACTTCTAATTTAGAAAATGATCTTACTTTGGATGATTGAATTATATCTTTTGAAGTTATGTCTACATTTTTATGTTATGTTATAGCAAATAAACATGCTAAGGATTTCCATACTCACATTACTATTGCAGCCATGTGGAATTAAATTAGCACAAGGATCTACTTCACTGCAAACTATTCCATCTCCTTCATAGCCAGCTTTGCAAACACAGCTAAAAAATATGTTGCAGAGTAAATGGAAGCAACAGTCATGAGAAATATAAACCAAAGCATGCACACATAAAAATCACAGTGACTGGCTGATTGATAAAAAAACAAGGAAACAACACCTCTAATGCATTTAATTTGATGCCTAGAGGTTCATGCAACAAAGTAGTAGCAATGTTACATTGGCCAAAATCCTCTTGTGTGTCTACAAAAATAGTGTAACTTTTGGGGGCAAATTGCCTGAATTTAAGAAATTGTCATAGACATTAAACAAAATTGCCCAAAAAGCATTATTTGTGCTATTTGGGCAATTTTGTTTAATTTGCACAAAAATAGTTCACTTGTTCTTTTGTGGTTGAGAGTGCTATAAATACTCTTGACTTCTTAATGGGTGAGACCAAACATTTCATGGTTTCTTCTCAAATATGGAGACCAGACATATGAGGGTTTATATCTCTAGTGTGTATATACTGTAATGTGTTGAATAGGAAATGGGCATAGTTTGGGGAGCTGCCAAAAATGAAGTAGGATGTTGTGAGTGACTATAAAGTCAAAGAGAAGTTGGAGGTGAGGCAAAGGAGTAGCATCCGCACCTTTCCCTTTCTTCTGGAGCTCTGAGCAACCAACTGGACCAGCCAAGCAGAAGGATCTCCGTAGGTTGGTAGGGAGTACATCATTTCTACAATAGGATAGCATGCAAATGGCTTCCAAAAGATATCAGCTGGGAAGGTGCATATGTTCACCCTACACAGTCCTTATAAGTTGAGAAGAAACTACTAGAGCAGCACAACAAATTATGAAAATTTTCAGAGTGATTTGTTCTAGTCAAACCTATATTTTTTCCTGGTGTCCAAAAGACCAGAACCTGTAAATAATACATTAATTTCAAGCATTGTCCTTTACCTTAAACAAGAGGATACAAGAATAACATTTTAAAAATATGATTAGTGCTACTTTCAGAATGTTATGCTTTTCAAGATTAGAGTCCTCTTGCTTTACAAAAAAATGAGTAATTTTAATGTTAACAAATCTAACACATTATTTACAAGCTCTGTTAGAGATGAACAAGTGTTTTTTAGTATAGGCTTTTTTGGACTATGTCCCACTTCCATTGAATCTGATGAAAGTGGGTTGCTGTCTGTGAAGGCTTATACCAAATAAAACCTGGTAGTCTTTAAGGTATCACAAGAGTCCCCCTTCCCTGATTATCAGATAGATATTAGGAACCTACCTCATGGCACCATTGCTATACATGCAGTCTGCATGTGCATGACAGAACTGAAGGAACATCCCACATGGAAACACCTGTGTGTCACAGAGTTTTCCAGTGTATCCACTTTTGCATGAACCAGGCAGACAGATTCCATCACTTTCTATATGGTTGTCACATTTTCCGTAAACACACAAGCATTCTGTGGAACCATGGGGAAAATAAATGTCAGTGAGATACTGTACTTGAAAAAGCCATATATCTTCATATTGTACCTTTTTCAAAATAATAAAGTCATTCTATACTGAAACTTTTGTTTTAAACAGAATAATTGCCAGTAGTGTGCCCTCAGAAGCTTTTCACATATAATTCATGATGTGCATTAATTTTGCATAAATCGAAATAAATCCTCATTTGGTATATAAGTCTTCTTCCCCTAACAAATACATTTTGAAATTACAGAGATAGTCTGCAATGACTGGCATAGCCGTGCTTTTGATTTGAGTGGCAGAAATAATCTGCCTCAGAGAAGGAATGCTTGAGGATTTTCTTTGGTTTTAAGCAAACTGAGCTAATTCATATTTCCTGGACTAATACATGGATTGAAATACACTTATTTTTCCCCATTGTTGTACTTCCCTGAATTTTCTGACACAGAGCTCAAAAATGTGTATGAAAAGGTACACTACAGTCAGAAAATTACATTTTGTAAAGAAATCATTTAAATTTGGTTTATCATGCATTTTAAAATGTAGCTGAGTGACAGACTTACAAATGAAGGCATGAAAAACTGATATAGACTAGAAATGGATTGATATGTCTATTTTAATTTGAGATAACTTCATCCCCCAAAGGAGCTTGAAAAGTTACTTTTAGGAAGAACCGCTTCTAAAAATTCCCAGTAGCCACATTTGCTCTGGGATTTTGGGCCTGGTAGGAAAAAACACACACAAAGTTTTCAGGTTTTGGAACAAAGTTTTTATACTTACTGGCAGAAGAGTTAAATTAAAGCTTTTGAGAAATGGACTGTAAGACTATGGACATTTTCATGTTATTAATGAATGATGTACTGCCAAGAAATTGTTTGCCAATGGACATGGGGGCAGAGAAGTGTGACCAAGCATTTGGAAGAGGTAAAGGTTCCCCTTGACATTTTTAGTCCAGTCATGTCCGACTCTAGGGGGCGGTGCTCATCCTGTTTTCAAGCTGTAGAGCCAGCGCTTGTCCGAAGACAGTTTCCGTTGCCACGTGGCCAGCGTGATTAGGGAATGCCATTTTACCTTCCTGCCATGGTGGTACCTATTTATGTACTCACATTTGCATGCTTTCGAACTGCTAGGTTGGCGAGGAGCTGGGACAAGAGGTAAAGGGAATTCACTCCATCGCGTGGATTCAATCTTGCTACTGCTGGTCTTCTGACCCTGCAGCACAGGCTTCTGAGGTTTAGCCCACAGCACCACCGGGGGGGGGGATGCAAGGATTAGGACCTAAATCATTATCATTCCTTGACCAGGACACATCATGCACCATTTTCAGTGTTCTTTGAAACCTTCAAGGGCAGCTTTGGGGTGTGGTTGACTGGGCAAGGAGACTTGCAAGCTGCTATTCTAGGGCAAACAGTACTTAGTCTGTAGATCTAAGGATCCAAATTGGTGTTTCCACCCCTCCACACTCTTCTCCATAACTTATGACCACTGGGAAGAAGCTACTTTGGCATATCATAAAAGAGCCATGAAAGTTCATCAAATGACCACATGTAAAATACAGTCCTTTCACTGGAAATTTGAATAATAGAATTTTTTCCCCTAAAAGCTTACAATTCCTACAGTAACTCACAACAATAGGCCATGGTCACTGGGGTATTTTGAATGCTGTTCTCTAAAAGAGTAAATTTCACTATCCGTTAAGGCTAAAAATGTACAAGAAGTAAAATGTACGACCATGCTTACTTTTGTCACATTGTGGTCCGTATTTGTTGGGGTCTGAACAGAACTGACAGTGTGATCCTTCAAATCCACTATTGCACATGCAAGTTCCATTTCCCTTCATCCCATCCACACACTGCAAGAAACAGGTTGAAGATTCAGTTTAACAACAATTGAAATGTATGCATGAAGATTCATGTATCATAATATTGGAAAGTGTTGTTGCTGCCTTCTTTTTTCCTTCAGTTAAAGGCAGCTGAGCCTCTGATCATTACTCAAGCAAATATATATGTTCAATGTATTAGAAAAACAACAAATAAACCACAAAGGTTATACATCAAGAAACCATAAAGGTTCAAGGGAACCAGGTCCACTATCTGGATTTTAACAAAGGAAAGGAGCCTCAGCTAACATTAAACCTACTGATTGCATTTACCTGACCATTTCCTGAACAGGGATTGGAAAAGCCACCAGGACACTGGTTGCAGTCTGGGCCAAAGAATCCCTTGCAGCATTTAGGTTCCTGTGAAAAAAGCATACCATGCTTGTCTCTTTTAAAGCCTTTTTAATAATGAGAAGGTGATGTCAAGATGGTAGGAATTTGGCTTTGGAAGCCAGAGATAAGGATTATGTATGTTTGTGACAGGGGTGTGTGAATACTATCCACTTTGAAATGCACTCAATTCTCCTGTAGCTCATCTGTAGCCCATCTGATTTGATCTGCATCGAACTATTTTAAAGTATGTATATATTATACGTTCGTATATATCGTAATATGTCCAAATACTGGAGAAACATGAGAATGGGGGAAAATAAAGGGCCTGACCTGGGTTGAGAGGTTAAATTCAGCACTATGAATCACTGCTTGACCTTCAGTGCACAGGCAAAGTTCTTCCAGCCCCCTCCCTTCCACCTTCCCTCCTTCTTGCCTTTCTCCCATCCACCAGGATGTATGTAATTTACTTTTTGCTCCCCCTAGATCTCTTCTTTCCATGAATCTATCCTACCTTAGCTGGGAACTATTGACCAGCTGTCACTTACCCCAAATCCACTCAAATGAAAGCTGCTGTTCTGGACCTTTTTGGTCTGAAGTGCCAAAGCAAAGTTAGCGCTTAGGAGAGCCCTGCTTTTATTTGAGCGCCACTTTGGGGTTTTATTTTATTTATATTCCACATCTCTCCCCACAGGGGACCCAAGGTGGCTCGCAACAATTAAGAATCATACAACAATAGCAAATTAAAATACCATACAGAACTATCTATTAAAGCAATTAAAAATTAGTCAAGATTAGAAATAATTCTGAAAACATTTAAAAGTACCAAAATTTCAGAAATAGAGTGTTCCCCAGACACTTATTTCTTAAGCAAAGTTAGCGCTTAGGAGAGCCCTGCTTTTATTTGAGCGCCACTTTGGGGGTTTTATTTTATTTTATTTATATTCCACATCTCTCCCCACAGGGGACCCAAGGTGGCTCGCAACAATTAAGAATCATACAACAATAGCAAATTAAAATACCATACAGAACTATCTATTAAAGCAATTAAAAATTAGTCAAGATTAGAAACAATTCTGAAAACATTTAAAAGTACCAAAATTTCAGAAATAGAGTGTTCCCCAGAAACTTATTTCTTAAAAGCCTGCCTGAAAAGGAGGCCTTTGCTGGATGGTGGAAGGACAAGAGGGAGGGGGCAAATGTGGCCTCCCAAAATAGTATTCCTTACTTTGTTTCAGATTGACTTGGAAACAGATAAGTACCCTCAGTCCTCCATTTTACCTTGTTTTCTAAAAAAAACTCGACATCTGAAGCACACTCCCAGTTTGCAATATTTGGTTCCCTTGTCTTGTGCCGTATTTGCAGCCTCTTAAGTCTGTCTACTGTTTGCAGCCTAAGTCTGTCTACTGTTTTTTTTCCCCACTGCTCTTGCGGTTCTTCAGTAGAAAATTGTTTTGCCATCAATGCTTGTATTTAATATTTGCTTGCTAAAGCTTCTGATTTGTCAAGATGACTACTCAATATTAAACTCTAAAGGGACTGGGCATTCAAGGTATTTTCTTTTTCCTCAAAGGGTGAATACCGAAGGTTTCAGTGATGCTATTTTTTCCTGTGGCGATTAGTAAGATAGATGACTGGTGTGTTAGTAGTTGTTAGTAGCAATGTAAAGGAGAATGAATGGTGTTAAAAGGTATATGTGAGGATCCTAGGATTTTTATAGACTACTAACAACAGAAAAATCTGTAGCTTGTCTCACCTTTTTTGTTATATTGCAGACTTTAGCACAACCATATGTGACATGGGTTTGGTCATGATAGAGGCACCTACTCACTGTGGAAGCCTAAAGTATTAAAGAAACCCACAATTCAAATACATCACACATCATCACCATCTTAGAACTGCAGAGCTGGAAGGGACCCTATAGATTATCGAGTCCAGCCCCTGTGGTCAAGGCACAGTGGGGGAATCAAACTCCCAACCTCTGTCTCTACAGCCAGACACCTAAGCCACTGAGCTATCCAACAGTTCTGTGATAATCATCATAGTTAATAATGCTGTTCTGAAAGCAATGCTGAATTAATGGATAAACCAGGAGAGCAATAACTTAGATCTGGATTCTTAAATATACATACAAAAACCTAATGCAAATATTTAGTTTCCAAATTTTGGAAATGCCTCTTAAACTTGATCCAAGGTGCAACTACATGAGGATTTTTCCTCCTGCTAGCTCCACTCTGGGACAGGCTTGTTTGCTCCTTTTCCCAGTGAGCACATGATATAAATGCCAATGTAAACCAGCCTGTTACAAGGGTGTTCCTACCCACATTGTTTTGGCTTTCTATCAGAGTCTACTCTTTTTTTAGTTGCAGGTAGGATCATTTTGTTGTGGTTCAATTCCAGCATGTTTGATCGCTGGGACTGAACCAAAATGGATCTTTCCGCTTTCTATTTCCCACCCATTTTTAAGCAGATAGCTTAGCTACTTAATGATACTGGGAAATTAAAAGTTCCTCTGTGTAGGAGCAGACAGGAGGGGGCAAGGAGGAGGATTTTTTTTGTTTTGTATTGTTTCTTTCTTTTCTTTGCCTTTAAAGGAAGATGGGCCAAATAGGATCGCTTGAGATGTGTATGCCATGTGGATACAAGGCTTGCACCAGCTGGCATAGTGCACCTTGATGTGACCTTAAAAGACCCAATTTAGCCCACCCCACCCCACTCCAATTTAGCCAGCTAGCCAAGCCCATACTGTAGTTGAGGGTCTGAGCAAGTCTGAAATTTGAAATAACATATTTGTATTAAGTTTTATGATTACAGTGTGACTACACCATCAAATGCTGTGGGATTTACTGCAAAATTACAGGTTGATTCAATTTTTTTTCTGATCACACAGCACAAAGGCTGATTTGAATCATTTCAGCCCCTTTTTGTGCTCCCAAGGTGACTTTTTTTTCTCTGCCACTCTGAACATAACTTTTTTCTCTTTGCTTGGCATTTGGAGGGATGATCTGTTTACTTACAATAATTTTTGAATTTTCTGGACAACTGCTTCTGTGGACAACTTGGCATTTTCCACAGGTACCCTGGAACAAAAATACCATTATAGGAAAGCATACCTTTGTTTTTTAAACAGTGCATCTATACTGTTTAATGTGGTTTCTAAAATATTCCTTTGGCATGAGAAGAATTTCCATGTGTGTTATGATGAGAATTTTATGTCCACAGACAGATGTGAATTCTCTGCATAAAGCAATGGGAAGGTGGATCAGCTCCCTCTAGTGAAAGGGCCTAGGAAGAGATTCTATACATCCACCAGAGCACGTACAGTACCGCCTTTTATATACATTAAGGCTTAGAAGAGACTTACCATCTTAATCTCAGTTTTCTCTTCATCACACCACTGTGGCAGAATTGGCATTATGGAGGGAGGTATAAGGACACCAGTAAGTGTGTAAATTCGGCCATTTTTTGCAATGATGTCTGTTTCTTCTATTCGCTCACCATTGACCAGGATTTGTCCCTGGATTAAGAAGAAGGAGAAGGAGAAATAATCTTTGACTGGCTACCATTGTTTTAAATGTTTTTCAGTTTATTTTAGTATGCAGAAAATATTGAGAGTGAGCATTAGATGGTTAAAACTGGCCATTCATAAATTGTTCCGGATAATAGAAATATCCTGGTACTAGGGAAGCCAATTAATACATGTAGTATGATAACAATCCATCTGTTATCTCTCTATTGCATTTATCTCCTGTCCCCATATCCAAGGAACTGTATATATAAAACACTTGAAATAATTAAGCTATACAGCTGAAGAGCCCACCTGCAGTTCTTAATATGTAAGCTACTTACTTAGTATGTATGTTTGAGAAGATATAATGAAGACTCAACACTTTGCTCAATGAAAGGAATAAAATGAACAATAAAATAAATTACTGTGCTTCAGTTCACAGTATGTTTCACAATGTGATCTGAAGGTAAATAATTATAGTGATAAGAGCTGTGTTTTTCCTTAAAGAATGTGTTTAGGATACAAATGTTTGTTTGAAAATGGCAAAGGCTGTTTTTTAAACATAGAAAGGTTTAACTGGATTAAACAGAGGATTTGTTACATGGCATATTGTATACTCTGCTTTGCTGGCTGGATAAGCTCAGTAATTTAGGTACAGTATCTGGCTATAGAGCCAAAGGTTGGGAGTTTGATTCCCTGCTGTGTCTCTTTGAGTAAAGCCAGCCTGTGTAGCCTTGGGCAAGCTGTGCAATCCCAGAGTGCCCTGCCAGCCTGTGGGGCCTTGGGCAAGCTGTATGATCCCAGAGTGCCCTGAGATGAAAGGAATTGTAAACCACTTCTGAGTATTTGCTACCTGGAAAACCCTGAAAAGGGTTGCCATAAGTCAAAATTGACAACACATGATCTTATATTAGGTGCTGTCAAGTTGATTGTAGCGTGCAGAGACTTTAACAGGATTTTCAAGCTATGTGAGGTAATCAAAGAATCATTTACCACTCCCTTACTCCATAAATTTCAATGTCTGAGCAGGGATTTGAGCCCAGGTCTCCTTGACATCCTGCTTACAGTATCAATTTGGCTTTCAAAGAGAATCATCACGGGGCTTTTTTGAACTTACATTATCAGTGATGTTAAAATAGATGAATTGTTGAGCCATCGTATTGATGTGCCCTGCAGAGATAAGGCTGGCAACCTCCAGCTGTAAGGAAAAAGAAAGGATTAAATACTTGTACAAAGCTAAATAGTAAAATAAGAATGCCATCTTAAAACTTCCGCATTATGGTTCAAATAAAAACTACTGGCTTGAAGCTGCCACTTGCCGTGGGAAAAATATATTTAGTTTAAAATATTCATAAGCTGTTAATCCTCACAAGTAGATTTAAACTATTAATTTAGGAAAACAATAAGCAATAATAAAATCAAAATCCAATGTTAAAACCACAGAACACCAAACGGTCAATGGCTTCAGTAGAGTCCTAAATCAATTATAGGCTAAGGTAAGCAGATGCAGTTTTAAAGGCCTCTTGAAGACCTGCAGTGATGGGGTCTGGGAGATATTAATGGGGATAGAGTTCCAGGGTTATTAGTAAGATGATCCCTCATGCCTGGCAGTCCCATTATTATTTTAGTCAGGAATACAAGTAGGACATCTGATGCTTGTCTCAGAGCATAGATAGGTTGGTACAGGCGAAGGTGGTTCTTCTAGTCATCTGAACCTCAACTTTCTAGTGCTGTAAATGTCTACTCCAGAACTTGAAATATTGAAATGCATTGACAACCAATGCAGTTGGTGCTTTATTGATGTCTGGCTCCTTAGCTCCTACTGATGCTTGAGCAGACACACTGTATACCCCTCAAGTTTCTGAACCACCTTTAAAGGCAGCCCCATGTAGAATCCTCTATAACAGGGATCATCAGCTGTGGCCATTGGGATTTTGCAGGAATCAACACTCATTAGCAGACCACAAATATCTGTGCAGACCACAAATATCTGCAAATCCACTCCTGCATTATAGCAGCCCAGTCTGATTGTCACAACAGTACGACAAACTGGAGCAAGAGTCATCAAACAGCATAAAATTGAGACCCTTTCTGAAGACTAAGCTGACAAAAGCACTCTTGTTCCATCCACACCATTTGTGTTTTCCTCAGTTAGTACCATGTCTAGGAGAACTTTGAAATGTTTTACGTGGCCCTTCAGAGGATACACAGTCCTGTCAGGAGCAAGTGTAAGCTTCCATCCAAGCTATTGCTGGCTTCAGGGGATCCCAATGGCAGTGATCTAGAAGGCTTAATTTAGCTTTGTTCCTGAATTTCTGCACACTCAGTGGAAATTCTGACTCTCTCCACTTCTATTTTTAGATATATGTGGCATGTCCTGAACTGCTGCTCCCATTTTCTTTTAACACTTGTTCTCTATGTAGCATACTGTCCTAGTATTCAAGAAAACAAGCTGAAAATTCCACTGGATGTGCAGAACTCCTTCACAGGAAAGACAGCTCCCTGCTAATACATTCTGTGGTAATAAACATATAATGAACATAGCACAGATGTTAAATGAACTAACCTGGGTGTGAGAAACAACATGATACTGAACCAGCTCACGAAGCTTCCGTGAACCCTGCACAAATAAAGAATGAGCTTCTTTTTATCCATATAGGCATAATGCAAAAAATCTTTTTCATGTTACCAGCACAGAAGTAACATTCCGTTACAGCTATGGAAACATAATTATCACAACAAACATATTATTGTGGATGCACTGAGAAGAGTGTCTACTGTTTCATATGATCTGGTGCTTTCAGAACCCACCATTGAACAAGAGTTAGCTGCTGGTATTTCTTCTACTAGCTGCCCACTTATTCATTTTCTTGTTCTTGTTCTCCAGTTCAGAGGGTGCTGCTGCTGCTAGTGAAGAATAGAAACCGTAGTAGCAGCAGCTTGTCCAGTTTGATGCTGGGGTGCATGGACAATGGTGACCCCACCTTACATTGTTCCTTACTTGATAGCTCCAGACACTCTGGAATTGGAATTTCTTTAGCTCTATTCCAATGCTTTGAAAAATTACAGTTTTGCCTCCTAGAAAGAAACCTCCTAGAAATGAACTGAATATCATACGAGGGCCTGTAAAAAGGCAATCTCCTTAGTATAATTAACAATCACATTGGTTCTGCTGTTGCTTTTCTATGTCACAGGTTCTTACACCCTTTTCCAGTACAAAGCTTCAATGGAATGGATCTGAATATCAAACAAAGATAAGAGTAGACTATGTCTAGATGGGCGGCATATAAATGCAATCAATCAATCAATCAATCAATCAATCAATCAATCAATCAATCAATCACCCTACTGTGGAATACTACACTGGCTCACACAGTTTGCAACTTTCTAACCAACCAACCACTGTCTCTGTATTTTGATGCCATGGATAAATGGTGAAAAATTGCCATGTTATCTCATGCTTATGTCTGCTGGAGTGGATTTTATACATGAAAGCTTACATTAAAATATAACAGTTAGCTTTTAAGGTTTCACAATGTTTTTGTCTTTTTTTATTTGCTCTTTTATTTTTTATCCCTAAAAAAAAGAAATAAAAATAACAACAACAAAAATTCCATCCTTCTCTCCTCCTCCAAGCTTTGCTTAAGCCACTTTACAATCCTGGGAAATAGAAAACTTCTTCCCACTCCTCTATGAAGAGGCAAAGAAAAACAGCATTCCCCCCCCCAACTGCAAATCACAAGATAACTTCCTGACAAGGCCTTTCTTTTTTTAAAAAAGTTTGCTTCCTTCCTTTCCTGAGAGGAAACTTTCAATTTTCCAGATTGTGAAATGACTTTAAGCAAAGGAAGAGTTTAAGCCATCCACTTTGGTTTGCTCTTGTTTGTGTGATCCAAATAATCATAGATGATGGAATTGTACCAAAATGGAACAATCTTACTTACATAAAAAAAAACAACCACTAGCCCCAGACAGGGAACCAGAACAGTGTGAGTAGGATGGATAAGGGATGGACTGGTTTGTGATGGCTTGTATATCATGTGGTTGCCGGAAAAGGAGCAAATCAGCACATCCCCAGAGCAGACCAAACTGTGGGACAAATCCATGTCTAGTCACTCCCTTGGCGCCATTACTTATACTCAGAGTCATTTCAGTGTGGAAGTTGTCCCACATATTACTTAATTATCCCTAGAAGCACAGTTAATATCTGCCAAAGCACATGGATCACAGTCACATAGCTTATATATGCACGCACACATACTTATCTATACATGATAGGGTGACCATTTGGCTGTATCATAACACCCCCTTCAATGGGGTACATCTGTTTGAATTAAGACACACTACTTGTATGGTATGGCCCAGTTTGGATGACAATTCATACAATTCCTACAGCCTAACCTGATACTGGTAATGCCAATCGACTGCATTAAGAAGAATGCCCATCTGCATTATTTAAATACTTGTACCTTACTTGACAAGAGGTAGTCCAGAACTCCATCTCTCAAGTTTTCCAAAGCATCATTTGTTGGAATGAAAACTGTGTTAGGTCCAGGATGTATATCTAGCATTGATCCCACAACAGTGTTCTGTTTTAAAAAATAATTGTAGAGTGGGTGTGTGACAGGAAACTTAATAGTTGAAAGCATTTCTTTAAAAAATATGTGTAATTGTGTGTGCTTAAGCCTTACCTCCAGGATGGTTCTAAATCTGCTGTACCTTGTTTTGTCTTGAAGTACCGCCATTATAGATTTCTACAAAAACACAAACAGATTTGCTACTTTGAGTATTAAAATCTGTGCATTAATTAAGGATCAACATATATTTGTATTAAAGTGTATGTATACAAAGACCCTTCACATTTCACATGGCTTTTATATGAACCATATGTAGGACCATATGCAGAGCTGAACAAGGACAAGGGTTGTATCCCTGTTTCACATGCAACAGGTCTCCAGGTCAGTCCTTGATTTCTCCAGGTAGAAATCCTGCCTGAAACCCTGGAGAATTGCTGCCAGTCAGTGTAGACAGTCCTGGGCTAGGTGGGCCAATGGTCTGAGACAGTATAAGGTAGCAACTGTAGGTGATAGGTGATGCTTTTATAGACCACTACATTCCTATGCTGTACTAGTGAGGAAGGATGATTCTGAGTCTCCACTTATAGGCAAGTTGTTACCTCTCAGTTTGAGGACCCAAGAGATAATATTGGACTTCTCTACTATTCCTGAAAGCCTCTGGACCCTTTAAGAAGGGCTATGCACAAGTTACTTTAATTTTTCTCTTATACTCTTGTGCACTATGCATTAAATTTATTCAAAACTGATGGATTGCTCAGTGGTTTAGGTATCCGGTCATGGAGCCAGAGACTGAGAGTTCAATTTCCTACTGTTTCTGCTTGGCAGGGGCTGGATGATGATTAAAAGGGCCCCTTCCAGCTCTGCAGTTCTAAGATGATTATTAAAACTGTCATTTTATGCACTAAAGTTATTTGACCTCACCTCTTTTTCCCCTGCAAAGATGGGTTCCATGTTGTCTAGTACTTTGTCAATAATGTGCACAATTCCATTGGAGGCAACAATATCTCCTTGTACAATTTTCGCTTTCTTCTTACCTCCTTGTATTCGAATTCTTAACAGATTGTCCTAAAGGCATCCAGAGAATTAATGTGTAATTTTTAAATAAAATTAAATGCTTGCATGTTTATAGCAAATTTTGAAAAGCCAAACCCTGAACTGTACAATATTCATCTAGATGGGCAGTATAAAAGCCAAATAAATAAATAAGTAAATAAGTAAGTAAATAAATAAATAAGCAAGCAAGCAAATAAGCAAGCAAGCGTTAGCTGAATTACAGAATGTAGCTGTTTTATTGCTCTGGTCTAAATTTATTACAGTAATATTTTATCAGGGCTCTGTTGTTGTTGTGTTACCAACAACTACAAACTAGTTCAAAGCCTTTAGGGTGGAAAAAAGGAGATATCCATTCCAGATGTTACTTTCTTAGATACTGTACAGTCTACCACCTTATCTACAAAGTAGCACACAACATAGCGAAACTATAATAAAAAGTTAGAGTTGAACTTTAAAAATATTAGCAAGTAGTTGATAAATTGAATTACTAAAACTCTCAAAACTTTCCAGTGTATCAAATCTTCTTAAGTTTGGTAATGTCTTTGGAAACCTTAAACATTTAAAACACCCATCTTACCTTTTCATCAAGCAGTACATCTGCCGACTTGCCAGTGAGGGTATAAACTATACTTGCGTTATTCAGTCCATTCAAGTCTAGCTGTCCAGCAAATATATGGAGCTTCACAAAATATTGGGCCCTCTCCTTATTAGACAGAAGGTCCTTAATCTGGAGAGTTAACAACATGCAGCCAGAAAGATATCATGTTGCAACTGTCTTTTAATTCAGATAATCTTCAATAACATGAAAAAGGCACCAAAAGAAAGCTGAGGAGAGTTAAAAAGACAGATGGGGCAACCTGCAATTTTCAAGGTGTGTAGAAACAAATATATTTAGAGCATCGCCAGCTCCAGATGTCGCATGATATAGTGGGTCCCTTTCTATTAGAAAGTCTCCTCTTATAAACACTGGTGCCTGGTCTTTCCTTTTCTTCCCTCATCACTGCTGTCATTTGCTTCTTGAGATGCAAAGTACCAGTAAGCCATCACTAAAATATATTTACTTCTCCGTCACACACCATCATTCCGTGGGCCCGAGCAAGAGGCGGATATATAAAGAAATTGCTGTGAGTGATAAATTTTGAATTGCAGGAACTCATTGACCAACAGCCTCTTGCTTAATTTAGTAAACTGCACTAGATAGGCCTACTTTAACTGCAACTTACTTTAGCATAGTAAGTTGCAGTTAGAGTAGCTCCATTGAATCAATGGAACTTACAGAGGAGTCAACTCATCACATCCCTATTGATACTTTAGTTGGTTTGCTAAGCTAAGTAACACGATTTGGGCTAGCAGGGCACTGCCAGTTGCTAGTCACATAACCAAGGAGAGTCTTAAGTAGCAGTGAGTTTTTTTAAAAAAACTATATTAACAAACCAGTTGCAGCTATTCTCATTGACAGGAGGAGCAAGCCCATTCCATTGTAAATGTGTCTTAATTGCCCATTTGAGACCAAGCCACCTGTAAATACTTGCTTTCCAACAAGTGTAGATCATAACACTGTATTGCTGCTGGAAAAAAAATGATTTCTCCCATATTTGTTGTGAGAACTGCTAAAGTCAGAGGGGAAGAGGAAACACAGAAGGAGGTGGCTGAGAGTATCATTGTCCATGCTAATCGAAAAATCCTAGTTCTGAATCTGAACTTGGCAAAGTTCCTATTATGGACTATGGTTCCCACAATCCCCCAGGCAGCATGGCTACTGGCCACATTAGCTGGGAGACTCTCAAAGCTGTGTGGTGAAAAATTAACATTATCAAGTATTGCCTTGGGCCCTTGGCTCTGCGACACTGCTGGTTGCCATGGTGAAGAGGAGCCCCCCCCCCAGGTCCAGAAGGCCTCAGCAGGCCCCTAACTGAATGGGGTTCCTCAGGCGTCTAGTCCAGGGGAATGAATTTTAGCTGGGTTTTATTTTCTTAAATGATAAATAACTCAGAAAAGAAAGAATTTATTTTTGAAAACATGTTGGACTCCACTTCCCTCCATCTCAAGTATCATTTCCCACAACTAAACAAACGTTTGCTCTGGTTTTTTTTAAACATCACACCTGTTCAGAATGTTGCACTTACATTGATTCCTTTGAAACCCTTATTTGTTGGAACAAGAACAGTAAACGGTCCCAGACTATTCAGTGGCCATTCATAGGCACTTTCTTAAAATGAAAGAAAGAGAGGGAGGGACAGAGAGGGAAGGAATGTGAATGCCATGAAAAAGTTTTACTATTTTTTTAAATGCACAGAATCCATTGAGACAACTTGAACTAAATACATTGGAACGCACCACTAATGTTTGTAACATAACATGTGCAGACTCATCGTAAATGCTGCACATTGCAAGGTTAACAACTGTTTGTTGGAATAAATGAGAAAGCCTTGATGGAAAAGGGAGAAATGGAAAAACACTTATCCCTAGGTAGAAGTTTGTGGATGTCCAGTTATACATCTACCATCTGTGTGGGCACTGGTGTCCTTCATGTTTATCAATTATGTTGATAGACTTGAATAGGAGAAGCAGGGTCATTGTTATTCCCTGAAAATAACTCTTCCACTGGTAAACCAGATTATAGTTACTCTGCTTCATGTATCTGAGGAAGTGGATTGGAGTTCAGGAGAGTTCCCTTTGAAATAAATCTTTTAGACTTTAAGGAGCCAGAACTTACTTATTTTTCTGTTTGCTATATAGCAGGTTAGATAGCACAGTGAGTTGAAACATCTGGTTTGCGGTTTCATTCTCTACTGCACCTCCTATGAGGACTGTCAGCTACACAAACCCCTTCACATTCCAGGAAGAGGAGAATGGCAAAACTTTTCTGAGTACTTTATATTCAGAAAAGCTTGCGAAGGGTCACCATGGGTCAGACGTGACTTGACTGCAAAATGAATATTTTGCATGCCTAATTCCTTGATGATAAAAATTAAGGGTTCAGTGCTTGGTTAAGCTTGGCTTGAAAGAATGGCATTGAAAGTTCATTGGCATTTTCTGTAATACAGTATTTGTGTTTATTTAGAAGCATACAGATTGAGAGTCAATTGATTCACACAAACTCCATGTGCCACAGACAGTCTTGATGGTTACAGTTTGTACCTCAAGATGCTTTTAGAGAAGTCAGAGCCCATCTGTGTCTTTCTTCAAATCTGGTGTAATGTAAATTACATGGAGCTTCCTTTGATGGCTGTTTGGAATCTTTAGCTGGTATCAAATATTTCCTTCGGTTTCTGGAGACAGGCTGTATTATACCTATTTTAGTTAGTTTGTTTATTTATTTATTTATTAGATTTATATACCACCCATCTAGAACGTGTCTACTCTGGGCAGTTTACATATAACATAAAAATAGTTTACCTACAGCGGCTGCCAAATAATATTCTGGCTTTGTATGAGGTGCTGGTAAAGACATCCGTAAATTGCTTTAGGAACTTAGCTTTCAAAATGTAATGTCTAGTACAAGCTGTGATAACAAATGTTCCTGACATTTGCAGTTTGAGATTAGAACAGGAAATCAGGACTATTGTTTTAAATGAATGTGGGCTTTATGCTGTGGCAAGTTTACTATCAGAAGTGCAAGCGTTGGCAAATACAGAGTTAGGAAACTACAATGACAAAATGGAATTATATATTTGAGCTTATGATGAGAAAAAGCTGTGGATCAGTGGCAGAATACTAGTTTTACAAACAGAAGATTCCAGGTTCAATCCCCACACTTCAGATAAAGCTGAACAAACAAACAAACAAATAAACAAAAAAAACCACTTGAAATCTGCTACTATTCAGAATAGAGCTGAGTCAGATGATCCAATGATCTGACTTGATCCAATTTGACATTTTGTATGTTCTTGATAAGAAGGTGCTCGTAATCAGTGTGACCATATGTGTGATTAATGTTTTTCTAGACATAATGGCCAGAAGCCAATGGTGTACACACTGCTTCTGCCAGAATCAGTATATCTCCTTTACTTCTCTTGTCCCCCCACCCTGGTACCTTTAAGTCCTGCTCCAAAGCACTGGGAAACTATAGTAGGTTTTCGGGGGAAGGATTATGTGTAGGGCATATTGATGGGGCAATGTGTGATGGAAGAAAATACTGGGTTTATGTCATATGAAAGAAATGGAAATGAAGTGTCCTATGAACATTTATGTCATATGTCGACATTTACTATGGCTGTCTACTTAGAAGTAAGTTCAGAAAAGGTAGCTACGTTAGTCTATGCTAGCACATTAGGCTAAAACAGAACAAAAATAAATAAAGAAGACAAAAATGCTTTGGCACCTTAAAAACTAACTGCTATAGTTTAATGTGAGATTCTGTGGACAACTCTACTTCTTTTTGTCTGAGGAAGTGGATGTGTTCCATGAAAGCTCACATTAAAATAGAACAGTTATTCCTTCAAGTGCCATAATATTTTGTCATCTTTTGTTTTTTATTTTCCTTTTGTTTTGGCCTGATATGCTTAGAAATAAGTCCCACTGAACTCAGTGAAGCCTACTCCCTCATAAGTGTGCAAAACATTGCTGCTATAGTTGGAGCAGAACTCAATGGAACTTAAATCTGAAGGACAAACTTGATAAAATGGCAGCTTCATAATTTGAAGGTGAAAAAAATGTTATCACTTCAGACATGCCTTATATCAAAGCTGCTGTGTCTGAACAATCAACTTGCAAATGAACTCCACTATTTCTTCTGATGATCAGTCACCAAAGAGAAGTAAGCTGATTTGCAATCCTTAAAGAAAATTCCACTGATCATTGTAATGCTATCATCTCAATATTTTCTCCCATAGTCCAAATCATATTTGCAGTGGTAAACTCTCTTACTTTGATCCAGCTGGAGTTATGCCTTTTGCTTGAGAGCAATGGATCCATAGGGAGATGTGTATGCACACTTAGGCACATGAGTTCAAGATCAAACCTTACATATGAGTCTCCATGTCAGAGTGCTGAGTATGTGTGGGGTGACCTTTGTTGAAATTGTGGCACAGGAGGAAAGGGTTATCCTCCTCCCCATATGCCATAGTCGTGAATTCCTTCATGTTCCTATTTAAATTGTTTAAAATATGTACCTACTGTAAATGATTCTTTCAATATCTCATGCTTTTGGCTGAGGGCAGCTGGTGGCTGAGTTAGGGGGTGCCTCCTTCCCCCAAATATTTGGGTAATAAGGTCCCCTGTCACATCCCAGTCCATGTGCTGCCCCTCCTTTTGGTCTTATGTTTAAAGAGGTACTCATGATCAGATGCTCCTCCGCATCAGCTAATAATGAAAACACCCCTTCAAGGGGTACCTGTTTGTAAAGACTGAGTGGATTGTGGCTAAATTCCAATGATATTGAAAAGCAGTAAGAAAGATCATCCAGGAGATTAACATTCGGTCTAGAGAGAGAGGTAAAGGCACTCTCATCATGGGTGTGAGTGGAATCTGAAAATGTAGACATTTTGGCATCTAATACTTACAATATAGTACATGAATTTTATCTCATTGTTCTTGCAAGCAAGTCAGTACAGAGGAAGTCAAGCCACAAATGGGACAACTTATTAGAACAGCTGGAGTCTTGTTATATCTTGGATTTCATTTCGGGCAGATTTAGATTTCTAGCACATTTCAATACTCATCAGGTGGAAGCCTTGTTTTCTAAAGTCATTAGTTAAAGTACAATTTGCTGACAAAAGGGCTCCATCTTCCCAAACTTTGGGATAGCTAACACATCTATTCTGACTCCCTGCATTTTGGAAAGTTTTATGCTACAGTCTTGGAAACTATGCAAACACAACAGCTAATTATAGTGGGAGAGATTCCTTGTTATCTCCCATCAGCAGTTTCCTCTTCCCATTCTCATCCATCCTGTTTCCCCTACAAGCAAAAAATCCTCTTCCTTCCACTCCTCATGAAGCAATGCCATCTGCACTAATAAAAGAGGCACATTAATATTAAATCACAAAAGAGATGTGTGACACTGCATACTTGATGGAACCAGAAACTCTTGTTTAATCTGATATTTGCAAGGAGAGAAAGTTGATGCCTTGGAAATAGGACTGACTGTATGGTTATTGCATAAGTGGATGCTTTTATTTGGGAAGACCGGTGTTAAAAAACAACCGGTATAACTATAAATGGCTGTGTGTGCGCGTGTGTTTAAACATCTTGATTTTCTGGGTTAGGCATCAACCGCTGCTTGGCCCACAAGCCACCTCTAGCTATAAGTGAAGGTTACCAGGTTTTCATCAGCCAGAGAGAATGTCTGTACCTTTAAAACTTCTCATTATTGGGAAGAACTAGACTCTGAGCTTGTTGCTTTGGTATATTATGTTGTGTGTGTACATTGTCACTTTGTTATGTTGTGTGTGTACATTGTCACTTTGTTAAGTACCGTATAGCATATTACTTGTAAGATATTCTCTGTAGGATACCTACTCTAACTTTGAATCTTCCAATGACTGCATAAGTTACTCTATAGAAAGGGAGGTGGAAGGATAGAAATTCCTTGGAACGGTCCTTGTGATTCACCACAACTCTGACATTATAGATATGCAGAGATGGACTCATAAGGAGAATAGCACGTCCTTACATTTTCATCACAGATGCCTCAATACATAAATCTGAAGAACTCGTAGGGTTTTTTTTTCCAAAAGACAAAACACAAAAGAGAAGTGCACATAATTTATCAAAGTTATTATTATAAGTACTTAAAAATAAAGCTGTTTGGGCTTAAAATGAGGTTTAAAGATACATACCTTTTTAAACTGCTATCATTCAGACATTTTAGAGTGTTTTAAAACTAGCTACTTATTCATTTTTGCTTTTTTTTGGTTGACCGCATCTACATACCAAAAAGTTCTATAGCAGATATTAGTTTTGCTTGCCACTGTCCTCCAGGTTTGGCATCTATGTCTCTAATCTGATCCATGATGTTTCCATAGCATATAAATCCATCACCTACATATCCTTTTTGGCAGGTACATCTGTGTAGAAAAACAACACGTATTGCAGTTGAGCTAAACAATACACTGACTAATATAGTAAGATTTAAACTTGGGTGGCCCTTCTAGAATACTACTGCCATTGTGGTGTCCATAAAAAATACTATAAAAATTATATATATAATATAAGCATGCCTTTAAACCCACTAAGGTAATTCTTGGGAAAAGTGGGATTTGTATTTTCATCCCTGTGGGACTGAGTCTTTGATAATGTGATTACGAAGACTGAGAACCCCTAGTTTAATAGACACTTAATATAGGATTCATTACTTTTGTGCTTTCAAAATAATTGGAAAAACTGTCATCATCTGGAACATTTTGGAATGTTATGTTATGGCTATCATGTTGTGACTATTTAATTGACATATCCCCCAGATCGTTTATCTGACTGGCTTGTATCTGCACAGTGACCAGAATTCTCTGGGATAGCTGCAAAAGAATAACTCAGGGCCTTTTTGTCTCTGCCAACTGTTTGTGTGCTGGTTGCCTCATCCCTCAGCTAAGGCTATTCTCATGTGTCTACTAGAAGAACAAATAGTAGACATAGCTAGGCACTAGAATTCACTGCCTTGAACATTCTCCAGGCCATAGTCATAGCCCCAGCAATGAGACATCAGCATGTATCAAAGAGACATTTAGCAGATACCATTTTTCCTGTCACATAAGGCAATGTTATTACTTAAGAAATGCTTAAAAGCCTTTGAAACCTAGTCAAAGTGAAACCTGACAACTCAAAATGGCAGAAATCATTGCAGAACAACAAATACTGTACAGTGTCTTGGAAACAACTACAATAAGAAGAAACAATGGGCTAGTTTAGATATAAGATGTCCGGCTTCATTAACCATACTTGACAAAGCTGGGAATGGATGTCAGGATAAAATACAGTATGTCTCCCTTGGAGCTCTCCTGCCTCCACCTTCCTTCCCTCAAATGGTAGAATCTTCCTGGAAATCCTGGTTTGCTCCATCTGGAGTTTTATGATACATTAATAATAGGAAACTACCTTCATGTTTGTTTTCTCACCAGAATACTGAGGCAGGAGCCCATCAGTGTGTTTGACATGAACAGATGAAAGGTATGCAAAGAATTAGCACTGTCTAGTCAATGTTAAGTGCAACGTCTCTTGGAAATGCATACATGGAAATAGTTAAACTGAATAATTCTTCCTATGAGGGGCATATTAACCATTTTACTCTTCCATGCCTTCCACTCAGTGTTCCAATATGACCTCAATTTTGTTGAGTCTCTGTATTTATAAATAGTCTAATGAGTTTACCCCTTAGAGAAACATAACAGAAGATTAACAACTTACAGAGTTTGTCCTGGTGCAGCCATTGCACATTCAGCATATTTATGGCAGGGATTGTTAGTTGTACAGATGTCTGTCATACTGCATCCTAGTCCAGGTACATATTTTCTGAAATTCTCTTTACATTCACAGTGGGACTTAAATTGAGAGGAAGAAGAGGATATTCAGGTAGGGGAAATCACATTTTTTAAAAAAATCACACAATCATCAAATCATAATAATGGAGTTGGAAGGGGCCTGTAAGGTCACTGAATCCAACCCCCTGCACAATTCAGGAATCCAGATCAAAGAATATGTGACAGAAGATTGCCTATTTTCTTTTGAATGCCTCCAGTGCTGGAGCACTCACCACCTCCCGAGGTAATTAGTTACATTGCCATACTGCTCTAACAGTTAGGAAGCTTTTCCTGACTTTAAAAAACAGGAAGCTAGCATATTGGAGAAAAACAAGCAGCCAGCTATCTTGTAATTAAAATAGATAATAAAACATAGCCATAAAAGGCTGCCACATTGGAGTGTGTGTGTATCTTATAGTTTTCCTTCCAACTCAGCCAACATTTGTTTCAATTGTAAACATACCTTTCCAGGCCCATCGTATTTGCAGACTGTAGACTCTGTAGGGCAATTACCAAATTTCGTCTGGCAAGGATCTATTGGAATGCAAACTTGGCCATCTCCTTTATAACCATATTGGCATATACATTTATGACGATTGGGTCCCAGGTAGAAGCAATCAGCATGGGGATCACAAACTTTTTTTGCACATGGGTTGATAGCTTATAGGAGAAATGTTAAAGTAAATCAATATAAAAGAGAACGGAGACATAAACAATGATTTGTATTCATTTTTCTGCATCAAATAAAGATTTATAACTTGTACCATTTTGCAGAGTGCTAAGAAGAATCCTGCCCCTTTTTTTGCACACTTGATCAGAAACTAAAAAGAGAACGGAGACATAAACAATGATTTGTATTCATTTTTCTGCATCAAATAGAGATTTATAACTCGTACCATTTTGCAGAGTACTAAGAAGAATCCCGCCCCTTTTTTTTGCACACTTGATCAGAAACTGAGGGAAACAGGTGAGTGATAAGATCTTCTTTGTTGCATACCTTGATGACACTGACAATTTCCATTCCAAGTAGCTGTCATGAAATAGTGGCTATTAGGCAGTTCACTAGAGGACACTGCTGGAAAGGGAAATGAAGCATGGAGAGACCCAAGGTTGGGGACCAATGCACTAGAGGACACTGCTGGAAAGGAAAATGAAGCATGGAGAGGACAGGCTATCCTCTCCTTCATGGAGACCACAAGATATTTTTCTACCTGGGGTAAAGGACAAGTTGGTGCTTTCATTCTGCCCAGTGGCAGGGCTGGGCTTGTTTTCCAGTAACCAACAAGTGTGCAAGCATGCTGTTGTTGACTACCAGTCCTTGCTGAGAAAAGAAGCTTACACTGGGGGCTTACTTAGAGCATCATTTTAATTTGATGGTGCACTTGCTGCAGTGTGTTTAGCATCAGCAGGAGCCCCCTTGTGCTGGCATGATTGCTTTTTTTGCCAGCAGAACCTCCTAGTGTTGACTAATCACAGGCATCTGCTGGCAGAAGGATCTGCTAGCACAATGGTTTCCAACCTTGGGTCCCCAAGTGTTCCTGGACTAAAATTCCCAGAAGCCTTCACCACTAGCTGTTCCGGCCATGATTTCTAGGAATTGTAGTCCAAGAACATCTGGAGACCCCAAGCTGGGAACCACTGTGCCACCAGAAAAGCCAAAATAGGGGTGGAGAAAGGTCATGATGAGCAAGAAGCTGAATCACAAAAAAATCCAAATTTTCTCCAGCCCTGGGCCATGGCTATTATGTCAAGATGAAGGTACTGTAGGTCAAAGTACTGTAATCTCCAACACCTCTTGTCATTTGTATTCAGCTCAACTTCAGATGGTACTGCATCAACTTAGCTGGCCCTCAGCCATTTTGGCTTGGGATTGCACTCTTATACAGTTTTGATAGAGATGTCCCCTCTCTCCACCACTATATTCTACTGAGAATTGGGGGGTATGGAAGGGATTGCAGTCTCCTCTCCCCTTGATCATATCCTACCAGTAGTGCATGGAAATAGGAAATAACAACATGCAACAAAGCAGCAGGTCCCCACTTTTTTTCAAATGGTCATCTATATTCTGCAGAAAGAAGCCGAGGCATCAACCCTGTGAAATCCTGTCCATCAGTCCAATAATGTGGAGGTAGGAAAATCTCTCCATTTCATTTATTTCTACCCTCCAGTGTTTTTAGACCTCATGTTTTAGCTCTTCCATACATAAAGGAATTTGTGAGTTTTAATCAATTCTTCTGAAATAAATGGAACATAAATCCTTCTCTCTTTGCATCTCCCAAATTCAATAAACAGAATTCAATTGACAGCATAGAGCAGGCCCATTTGCCTGCTAGCCACAAAGCTGTTAATGATGATGAATCTCAGGAAAAGAAAGGAAACAACATTAATTCCCCATTATCACTGAAAACATGCAGATTTAAAGCCAGACCTTCATGAGCCAGTACCTCAAATCTTTGGGCCTAAATATCTCTCGGATTAAAAATGTTATAATCTCAATTCCACCCCCCCTCCAGAATACGATAAAACCTGTGAACTTTGAAAAACGAAGCTGAAATAAATTTGGTTGCTGTAGGTTTTTCGGGCTGTTTGGCTGTGTTCCAAAGGTTGAGAACACATTGAAATAAAATTCTTTCCTATCCCTTATTGAAGAGCATGTAAACAATATTTCATGTGTATTGCAATTAAAAGGGTCCCATCTGGTTGTGTAGTTACTTACGTTCACACTGTCTGCCATCTCCTTCATAATTTGGAAGACATTTGCATTCTAGTTGATTTCCGTCTACAGTGGATACAGAGCATCTGGAGTTCTCTGGGCACTGCAAGGCCTGGCATTCAGGTATTGCTGCCACAAACAAAACAGAACAAAAGAACGCCAGGAATTATATAGAGGCAAGAATGGACACATAAATCTGCCTAAGTAAAGTTGTAGACATGTCATAAAGCATCACCAAAAACAGTGGTTCCCAAACTCAGCTCCCCAGACATTACTGGACTACAATCCAGAAGCCTTTGCCAACATAGCTAGTGGTGAAGCCTTCTGGGAAAAGTAGTCCAAGAACATCTGGGGACTCTAGGTTGGGAATCACTGACCTAGAACATAACAAAAGCATATGGGTGGATTTGAAATCTTGACTACTGTGCTGAATGCAGACTGAATACATTAATCCAGTGGTTCCCAGCCCTGGGTCCTCAGATGTTTTTGGACTACAACTCCTAGAAATCCTGGCCAGCACAGCTGGTAGTGGAGGCTTCTGGAAATGTTAGTCTAGGAACATCTGGGGACCCAAGAATCACTGCATTAGACAATCATCTTTCCAAATGCATTAATGTGCCCAGATAAGCATTAGAAGACCACAAAAGTATCACTCCCAATAATAATTTGCTATTGGCCAGGTTGACTGAGAATTCTGGGCACTGCAATCAAAACATAAAAAGGGACAAAGATTTCCTGTCTCTACTTTAAAATGTCTGTTGAACCAAACAGTAACCACCACCTGAATGAGAGACAATAAGGGAAGAAAAATAGAAGGTTCTGGTATTGGCATCACTAGGAGCTAGAATTAAGAAGTTTGGTACTGTACATACTTCAAAATACATATTTAGCACACAAAATATGATAGGTAAAAATACAAGCCTACAAGAGCTTTTTATTGTCTTGGTATTTATCTTGAGATGTTTCCTGTATATCTGCATTTTTTGAAAGTTTATGGTAACATTGAATTGATTTTTTAAAAAGCATAATTTTCATGAATGTAGCCCTATGCACATAGAAAACCATTTACACATGTAATGTTACATACCACAAAAAAAGTACAGGGGGATCCCAAAATTAACAGAAGGAATGAGTGACCTGCTCTTTCAACCACACAACTTGCAAAGTAGAAGAGAAGAAGAAGGAATAAATTGATAATAATCATCATATGCTGTCAAGTCATTTTGAACTTATAGTGACGCTTTTTCAGGGTTTTTGAGGCGCTTTCATGACCTTAAAAAACCTAAGAACCTGACTTTAAGGGGTGGGGGTGGGGAAATGCTGGACCTCGATATCTGGCGGAACGCCTACTCCCAGCAAGTTCTACCCGTGTCACTCGTGCGAGCCAGGAGGTGAGGTTGAGGAGCCTAACACCGAGGGATGCCCGGAAGGAGAAGACAAGAAATCGGGCCTTCTCGGGGGTGGCTCCTTGCCTCTGGAACAATCTCCCTCCTGAGATTCGCGGGTCTCCCTCACTGGGTATCTTTAAGAAGCAATTAAAGACTTGGATGTTTCAGCAGGCCTTTCCATCACATACCTCTTGACACCCCCCCCCATTTCCTCTCTTACTGTTTTTGTTTTGCGTATCGTGTAATGTAATATAGTGCTTTTATTATTTAGAACTGCCTATTTACACTTTTATTGTATCATTTTATGGTTGTTAGCCACCTAGAGTGGTCCTCACCGACCAGATAGGCAGGGTATGTATAAATAAATAAATAAATAAATAAATAAATAAATAAATAAACCACTGAGCTATGCAGCCAGCTAGAATTGGTATTAGGCCAAGAGAATAGTCAGGAACTGACTTTTGTTAGAGGAAGGCTTATTATCTCTATATTGTTAGATTTTTTTAAAAAAGGAAATAGAATATCGCTGCTGATATTACAGGAGTTGAATTTCCGGACTGCACAGAAGGGTACTCTCTCCCATTCCAAAGGCCAACACGGCACATTATTGTAACCTAGTCTTTTGAATGGCATATTAAACTATGAAAAAAATCGTTTGTTAACTTGGATCATTGCAGCTGCCATAGAAGAAGTGTTATTTGTGTCCATGAGCCCAAACATTTTACTTACGCTGGTCACAGCCAGGACCTTTGTATCCAGACAAACATGTGCATTTCCCATCTCCTGTTATCCCGTTGTTGCATATTCCATGAACACAGCTGCATACTATGAATGAAGTCAGTGATTGTTAGCAATATATTTAGTTCAATATTTCAGTACAAAAAAAATACATTTCAATCATCATGGGTCTCTATGTAGAAGAAAAGACAATTCCTATGACTGCAGTGACCTGTTCTCCCCACGTAGTCTCACAATGATTTTGTTCACAATACAAAGATAGCAGATAAATACACAGTTGCTCACTTATTATTAAACCTGTGTGTAACTATACCCAGGAGCATGCTGCAAGCTATACTTAGAGCTGCTAGGAGAAAAAGCATTAAAGCATATCCTAAATATTTTACCTTTTTCCAACCAGGATATCAATCATGTTCATTGTACTGAACTATCTTGACATCATTAACTTTACACAATGTTTGTTTGTTTATGTATTTATTTGTATCTTTTATATAAAAAGTGGTGCCTCAATTTACGACCGTCTTGACATACAACCATTTCGAGTTGCGACCAGTGCCAGCCGCAAAATTTTGCTTTGACTTGCGGCTGGAGCTTTGAGTTGCAAACAGAAAAGAGGCAGGGGAAAAAGGCGGGGAATTCAAATGTTGGTACTAATTGTTGGTCGGTGAAGAGCTTCTTTGTAGCTCTTTCACCTAAATGGTTACAGAGTGTGTATTGGAGAAGGCTTTTGACTGTCTGGTGCTGCTTTCTGCTCCTGAGTAAGTACATTTACTTTGTTTTGCAGGGTAGGTTTGGGTTTTGGGGGGGGTTATGTTTTCTGTGCTGTGATGTTTTTTGTTTTTTTTCCAGCTCGATTGCATCCCGATGGGGCCGGCTGTGTGTGTGTGTGTGGTTGGTTTTTTGTGATTATTTTTCAGCCTCATCACATTACAATGGGGCTTGCTCTGTTTATTTGTAAGTTTGTTTTCTTGGCCAGAACAGATTAACGAGGTTTCAATGTATTCCTATGGGAAATGGTGCTTCAATTTACGACCATTTCGAGTTACGCCCATCTTCTGGAGCGGATTATGGTTGTAAATTGAGGCACCACTGCCTCTACTATGAATGGTTGTATTAAACAACCTTAAGAAGTAACTTGTGTTTGCAGGTGAAGAGGTAACACCAAGAGAGAGTTCTTCATTCAGATCTATGTGGCTGAATGAGATTTGATCTAGACTATTCAAAACTGAACATGATGTCCTGTGGCTTACAATAAATTGGTATTCCTAGCTAGAGTAGATTAGCTGAATCAAATGCTGAATGATGTGACGATATATATGTAAATACCATGCATTTAATGGGGTTACTCAAATTTGTGCTACCAATTGGATTGAGGCCTACTTCTTTTCTAAGTAGAAGTAGTTTACAAAATATTTCAGCTGCATTGCATAGGAAATATCTGTAGGAAATGTCTTCAGTATATTCTCAGCATGTCTGTACCCACTAACTTATATCCTGATTCCTGAAGTTTTCCTCTATAGTTAGAACAGAAGCTATCTACAGGAAACATTCCTATAACTAAGAATCTGAGAAAAGACTCATACACTTAGTTTGCAGTGGCTTTATTCCTGCAAAGCCTTCCTATATGTTTTGAAAATGCCATACTTCAGGGAAGATAGTATGTCTTGCACAGAGAAGGCCCCAACTTCAGTTGTCTAGCATCTCACTTTAAATGGCCAGGTAATAGGTAATGGGGAAAGTGTCTGTTGTTAGCCTTGGAGACATGCTGCATTTCAGTTACTAGACAGGTATGCCAATAGTCTGAGTCCACATAAGGCTGCTTCCTACATTTGTGTTTTAGGAGAAATAAAATATTGCTCAGGATTGAAGCACATGTTTTGTAAAGATTTATTCACCTGGTGTCTCTGGATAGAGTTTGAAAAGACCCCTGCCTCTCACATTTACCCTGTTTCCCTGAAAATAAGACCTAATCTGAAAATAAGCCCTAGTACGATTTTTCAGGATGCTCGTAACATAAGCCCTACCCCCAAAATAAGCCCCGCCCTCCACCATTGTGCAACCACCAGAAGAAGATGACATGACTGTATTTGAATAAATGTAGATTGGTATACATGAAAAAAACATCCCTTGTAAATAAGCCCTAATGCATTTTTGGAGCAAAAATTAATATAAGATCCTGTCCTATTTTCGGGGGAACACGGTAGTAAAGAAGATAATCTGATTTATATATAAAACCTGGATTTGCTCAGAAGAGCTAACACAGTGGCCAAACACAACCAATTTCAGTTATGAATGAAATAAGCTTTATTAAGCAGTTTGCTCACAGTCAGCTATGTGTCAGGATTAACTCCCACCCACTTAAAAAAACAAACCCAGTTTTACCATGTATTCTTTCAGCAATACTCCAGTTAGCACTCAGGATATTTTCCTAGAATATATGGAGTGCTAACAAAAACAATGGTAAATGGGAACATTATACGGTAACTCTATACAGTACTTTGTTGGCTCGGTGAATATACAAATGAAAGTTTTAGGCAGTTCCAAGTCTGCAGCACTGGAGGAGGAGAAGAGCAGAAGGAGAGATTAAAAATGGGATTGTATGTGTGAGAAGGCAAAAAGGAGACAAAAAAGGAAGGAGAAAGAGAAAAGGAACCTCCGGAGCTGCCTCATACATGTGATTCCTCTGCAGCTTTTAACCACATGGGGAGGAGTTGGTGAATGAGGAGCGGCTGTGGGAGAACTCTCTACCAACTGTCTGCTCATTTGCCTGTCTGCACATGCATGTGTGAATATGGTGTGAGTGTGTTTTTGTCTGAGAGAGTATGTCTGAAAGGGAGGTGTGTGGTAAGCACACGCAGAGAGAAAAAGAGTGAGAGAATAGGGAAGGGAGGAAAAGAGGGGGGCAGGTTGCTCCTACCAAAGAATGACTGACGGACTGACTTTTTAGAGGGTGGTGAAAAGCATGTTATAATGAAACAGTACTAAGTGTAGTGAAATAATGTTAAGCAAAATATCACTGTACCTATTTTCTACCCCACTGCTCCTCTAAGTGAACATGGATGAAAAAAAATGTATTCTTGAAAGCTTTCACGACTGGAATCTGGTGGTTGTTGTGGGTTTTTCGGGCTCTTTGGCTGTGTTCTGAAGGTTGTTCTTCCTGACGTTTCGCCAGTCTCTGTGGCTGGCATCTTCAGAGGACTGGAGTAGGAACACAGCATGGACAGAGTTCCTACTCCAATCCTCTGAAGATGCCGGCCACAGAGACTGGTGAAACGTCAAGAAGAACAACCTTCAGAACATGGCCCAAGAGCCCAAAAAACCCACAACAACCATGGATGAAAAACATGGGGATAGCATAGCTACATGACTGGAAACACACAGATGTAGTTGGAGCTGAGCATTATAGTTGGATGCATTGATGTACTTCTCAGGTATTTCCTATCACTGTACAAACAACCAGTGGATGACTTCTTTTCCTCTCATCTGCCATTAACTTCTATTATCTAGCTTTTAGAATCCTTTGGATCACATACTTGACTTGTCAGATCATGGATTCTACTCATTTCAAGAACATGCTTTCGAAAAAGGGAGCTATTTCTTAGGCAGTTTTTGGATATGAGCAACATATATGATTTGGTTGGTGATAGTATTACATTTACTGTAGTGATGTATATACATCATACATCATTATGAAAGTGTCATCCTATGGACACCAGCTATGCTGACTGAGAGAGTCTGGAAACTGCTCCAAGCAAGTAACTGCTGTAAGCGCCAAGTAATAAACCTGCAACGTTCACTTGAGAGCAATTTTATTCTGTTTTTTTAAAAGGACTCTAAAACAGACATACCTGAAGTACAGTTGGGTCCAAAAAGGTGGTCTTCGGCACATTTTTCACAGGCAGTCCCACCGAATCCTTTCTGCAAAACCATAATTTAAGAATAAGCATGGTTGTGAAAGCAGAAACAAGTGAAAATGAGGCAAAGCTGAAATCCTGAATCAGTTTTCCAGACATTAAGACGCACTGAACCTTCAAAAGAACTCCTTTCCAACCACAAAGGAAAAGTGTAGCAGCAGAATTACTGGAGGACCATGATTTACCTTTGCTGCTATGGGTTAAAGTCCATGACTTTATCGGGGTCCATTCTAACACTTATGTTTGTAATTTTGAGTAAACCCCATCACACACACAGTCCTTATTTCTGTGCCAGATTCCATCAGCAGTAATATTGCAGATATTGTGCTATTTCCAGTACTTCTATTACATGACCACCATCATTACTACTAATAAACACATACCTGGCAGGTGCAGGTTCCATTTCCAATAATACCCTGAAAACAATGTCCTCTGTGATTACAGGGTGATAGCGCTCCACCTGGACATTCTGAAAATAAGCAACCAGAAATTTTAGCTTAATGATAATGTGTTTTATGTGATCTTAAATGAATCTGTTCAGAATCAGATTAGCATTTTGTATACAAGGGATCTATATGGGAACTATGGTTCCTAATTAATCATATACTAAAATAGTAACCTAGTCAGGCTTTGTTTGTTTTGCTTTCAACCAGCTTGCCCAGATAACAAGGGGTGAGGTTATTATTTTAAAAAGGGCTATACCTTTGAATTACCTTATAGAGGCTGTTAATTCATCAGAATCTCATAAACTGGAAATGCCTTGGCAGTGTAGAACAACAACATTAAAAAAAAAAGTTTAGTGAATGGACAACTGGGATCCACAAGGAAGTACTAGTTCTGGCCTTTAGTTCCCTTTCGGCTCCAACTTTCTGTCTGATTTTCACCCGAACTCCAGGCTACTAAGCTTTAGATTTCATACGCTGCTATGAACACTTTTATGCTACTGATTAAATGAAATCAGAACGGATACAGTTTTTTGTGTTTTTTTTTCCAAAAAGAAAAATGGGAAACCTCCAAAATTGATCATAATTTTTTGTTGCTTGATGGAGATCCAAAATGGAGAAGCCAACATGCGTCTGCCAGGGACTTCTCTAGATGTAGTAGCCAAGACTTCTGACATGTTAAATTCAAAACATTTAGAAGGACAGAACTTTGAAAAGTTACTTTTTTTGGACTAAAACGTCAGCACCGCCAGGTTCAATTCTTGGGGTCCCTTGTTAAAAAGGTGTGGTGTTAGGGTTAATAAATAATAATACTGTAAATACTAAATAGTTGACAGGGAAGATCTCTGGATGGGATTCTGATGAGTTGCTTTGTATCAAACTAGGTAATACTGATCTAGATGGAATGACAGTGGGACTTGCAATGAAGTTCTTTAACGCCCCAACCATATTCCCATTTACCTGAGGCTAAATGGAGCTGGATTTAATAGAACTGAATTGTTCTGTCTGTGACTTACAACAAGACATCTGGTGTGGACTATACATGTCAACCTCAGGAGTAAGTTGCATAGTTTAGTGAAAATTATTCAAGGGAAAGTGGGTGTAGTATTATGGCCTAAGCATACAACATGCAAGTTCAAGGGGCAATGCAAGAGTGGCTAATGAACCAAGCAAAATGGGGGAAGGCACCTCCCTGTGTCCTTCCCAGTCACAACCTGACTTTGAGCTAAACGTGCAAAGCGTTGCTGTGACTCATGTAAGTGTATGTGAAAAACACTTATTTATCTTTTTATTCTTCTGATGCATTTAAACAACGTGTCTTGTGGCACCTTAAAGATAAACACATTTTATTTGCCAAAAACATTTGTGGATTGCAACCTGCTTCATCAAATGAAGGACATCAACAAGCCAAAACTCACAGGTGGACTTTATTTTTGCAGCATCAGATGATGCAAACTCTCCTCACTTCCTTGTTCTTAACCAGGAGAGTGGCAACTTACTAGGCAGTTCAGTATTAGCAATAGTCTTCTGAGTATTTTATCTTTCTCCCTCCCACATCAAAATTGGGATACAATGGGGGGAGATATTCCCCTCCCTTTCCTATTTTTCCTTCCAACTTTTATAAAAGCATGCTTAATGAAGGAACAATGACCTGAAAGCTTACACATAATTTTGGAATTTTTTAAAAAAGAAAATAGGCCAAATAATGGTATAGAATATGGATACAGATGGAAACCTGGAATTTATTGATTGATCAACAGTTGTGTATAAAATTCATTACTATTTTCGTTGCAATAGCCTAACACAGCCATCCCTTTAAAAATGCTATATGTGCTTCTTGGACATCATTCTAAAGTGGCTTATAATAGAACCATGCAAATACTTTTCCATACAGGCAGTTCATAAAATCATAAATCAATTTTACACACATTCTTGAATAAAATGATTGAAATTCAGAACGTCACCACCAAAAGCAGCAAATACAATTTTGTAAATAAAAAAGCCAAAGGAAACAAGTAAGTTTTAAGAAATCAATTCAGAATGACAACAAATGGAGTGCTGCATCTCTTGGGGAACAATTCCATAAATCAAGTGCCATACCTGAGAAAATGCTACCTATAGTTCCTGTCAACCTTACAGAGCTCAATGGTGGGCTAACCAATGTTGTCTTAACTTCCAGAGGCAATCTTAACACAAAAGCATAAGGTTAGTAAACAATTCTTTAAACCATTCTTCAACCAAATCATTAAGACTCTAAAAATCAAAACCTGTAGTGATTATTGGGACTGGTACAGAACTGGCATGATATGATCAGACCCATCAAATCCCAACAAGGGATCCTAGTGGCTATGTTTGGCACCAGCTGAATTTTTGGCGTCATCTTGAAAAGCATCTGTATATGCAGAGTACATTACAACAGTCTTGTCTGAATGAACCTATGGGCTAAGTCCACTTTCCCTGGAAAGCTGACATGCTGAGAAGTAAAAGGTACTCTTGTTTACTGACACCATCTGTGTTTCCACATTCAACAACAAATGCAAAATCTCAACTTCCTAATCAGTAGATGCCCTTTCCCAAGTATTTCTGGATTAGGCTTCTATTTTTTTTTACCTTCAGCCATCCCCACTCGCACCCCTCAAACATCCATTCAGAAATTTATGCACAAACAGAGGATACTGCCTAACACTGAATCAGAATGTTGATCTAGTCAGTTTAGCATTGTCTACATGGAATGGGAGTATCTTTCAAGACAGATTTAGTCACCCTACCCTTGGTGCAAAGCGCATGTCTCCAAGCTCTTCCTTTTGAAACTAACCTCCCAGTAGGGTGGAAAGCACCATAGCACCGTGGCCACTAAACTGAACCCCAGCAGACAAGTCAGAAGGTACTGGTATTAAAAGCTACCAAGAGGTGCATTCACCTTGACCATTCTTCAACATGCCATTGATAAAGATGAGCAAAGGCTGTTTCAGTCTTTATACTAGCTTTAAATGTGAATTAGAATAGGTCCAAATAATCAGTATTGTCACAGACACAAAAGAGTAAGAAACCTGTCCTTTGAAAGCTGCTGACACTTTGATTCTGTTTCCTTGTGATTTCTTGTTTTGAAATTCCAACGGAGAGACAGACCACACGATTGCATTATTGCCTCATTGTTCTCCAGTTATACTTGGCAAACAAAGCATTTCCTCTTGTACTTCACATTATGAAAAAATTTAGGCTTTGTTACCACCTCTCTGGCCCTACCAGTGTAATCCTATATTTCTCTATACAGAGGAAAGCTCCACTGAATTTAGTGGGATGTGTTCCATGGTAAGGACACATGATTGTAAGTGGAGGCTGCAGTCCTTAGTATAATTGCATAGGCAATAAATTCCACTGAACTTCATGGCACTTGCTTCCAAACAGAGCTGCTACATTAGAGGACTAGCTGGCTAGAAAGCTCAGTAGTTTAGGTATCTGGTTGTGGAATAAGAGGTTGGGAGTTCAGTTCCCTGGTGTGTCTCCTAAATGTACAACCAGCCTTGGCCAAGGTGCAGGGCAGTCCCAGAGGAAGGAAATAGTAAACCACTTTTGAGTATTCTCCACCTGGAAAACCCTGAAAAGGGTGAACATAAGTCAGAAGTGACTTGACAGCACATTATTTTATTATTATTAAATAACTGCCAGGTTCTTTCTTTTTCATCTGGCCATCCTATAACCAGCGCAGTCAGATTCAATCCTGATCAAATGCTATCGTGTGTAAAAGATAAGCTTCCAAAGTGATTGTGCAATTACGTGAAGAAATTACAATGCAACTATGTTAACCAGCCCCTTCAGTATAGACATGGAGATTTTCCTAATGAGGTAGTTGTAACCAGATTCAGAAATATAGTATGATATAGTTCACAAAACAAGCCAATGGTGTACCAGGGGTGGCTTAGAGATGCCTGGCCATGCTGGCTGAGGATGATGGGAGTTGTGCTCTGCACATTTGAAAGACTGAATGTTGGGAAAGTATGGCTTGTTCATTGACTTGGCAGCAGCTCCCTCAGATGATAGGCAGGTGATTTATCTAGTCTTTTTGAGGGGTTGAACCCATGACATTTGGCTGAGTATACACTATGGGCTTACCCAAATGTTTTAAAAAGCATTTTACAGTTGCATTTTTTTTCTTGGTAAATGCTCACTTTCCCTGAATGTGAAAGAAAGGGTACCTCTGAATGGAACATCTGGGGAGGGAGAAAAGGATAAATAGCTGATATGGATTTCTGAAAGAAAGGAAAACATGGTCGCCACAAGAATATGTGCCACTATGGTGTTTTTTTTTACCTAGGCAGTCTGCCCCCCAGTATCCTCGGCAACACTGAGACTGCTGAAACTCCCTCATACATACATGCCGACACCCTGGAAGAGACAGTGTGAAAGTCCTGATTTCAAGGTAGTATCTGCAAGAAAAGGATTTAGGGGTGTGTTAGAATCCTTTAATGTCTTATAGTCACCTTATTTAGGTTCTCACTTCCACCCATTCTCAAAACGCATGGAAGGAACTGCAGAGACAAGCAAGCCAGCAGGATTCCATCAGTTTGCCCTCCCCTGCTACAGACTCTGATGAGCTGAGCAGAATGTCCGAAAGGGGAACAATTATGCATTTGGCCGAATAGGTTCAAATCTTTCAAACATTATGAACAGGTGAAGGGCAGAGGCAGTGCTTGGAAGACTGACATTTGAACAAGTAGTAGCTAGTTACTCTGTTTTTGTGGGGAACTGTGAATATAGACTGGTTTTAGTCTCTACTTCACAGATTTTCCCAAGGTCTTGAACCCTATTCCAAAAATATATTCAGGAATTTGTATAACTCTAATAAAGTGCGGTCTAAAACTAGGAGGTGGATTCATAGCACTTCTGAAATTAAAGTTGTAGCTGGTACTGCTTTTTGGAACTGGAGTTCCTGGTAGCAATGCTTGTTGGAAGATTTTGAAACTTGAAGTCCACCAAAGTAACTTTTTCAAGCTCTGATCAGGAGCTGCAGAACTTCCCAAAGGAATAATCTGTGCAAACATTTATATGTGTGGGGACCATGTCAGTCCATATAGTAAATACATAGATAATCAAATTGAGTCAGCTAATGAGATGCCATCCTGGATTGACCTGAGACATTTGACTGTGTGAAAGAGAAGATGAAATTATGCCTTCCTGCAGTCACTGAGGGTGAGGTGTATAGTACAGAAAGTCAACCTGGTGAGGCAGAATTGAGGCAGAAAATCCCACAAGTAGGTCTCCCCATTTGTAGCACTAAAATACATTAATAGGAAATTAGGTAGCTAACAATCTGCTGCTGCTTCAGAATCACAATGTTCCAAATCAGTTGCTTGAGGTCACTGCCTCACTGTGCCTAACCACTGGGCCATCTCTGATACCCACCAAGACATATATTTGTAATAAATGCATAAAATATCTGAAAAGGAACTATTTCATAAGAACGTTCTGAGGTTGAAAAGCAGAATCTGGAGCTCAACGCACTTCTCAAAGACTGCTGTTTGAATACAGCTTATACAGACTGAAAACCTCATTTTCAGAATAGGAAATGTTTGCAGTCAATTCACAGAAGAAATTACCTGCAGTCCCGTATCCCAGAGCTATTGGTCGTTTTGGTATAACCTTCAGGGCACTGGATTTCGTAATTAAGAGAGCAAGATCTGCATTTGGTTTTTGTGCTAACAAGTGTCTTCTCATCACATTTATTCTTCCTCTAAAGTGGGGGAAGGAGACAGCAAAGAAACATTTGAGGTTGCCAGCATAAGATACTGGATGATTTCAGGAATTCGTTTAACTGTTAATCTGATTTAATAGATTGTTAGTCCACCTTCCAAGTATCTACCCTCATAAGGCAGCTGGAAGCAAGATCATGGATGAACTGTTTACATCATGAGAGAACAACATCAGCAACAAGTGAAATAGTGGCTGAAATCCAAAGATAAGTTGCAACTAGAGATGGCATTTTGAATCAGTTGTGATCAGGTGAATAAACTCCCCTGTCAGTTCTATTCAGTTCCTACTCTGGTTGCAACTTACTTCTGGCTTTCAGTCAGTAATTAGAACACAGGATCATAAAATTACTCAAATGTGGTCTCAGACATGGACAGTCTGTTAAACACCAACACCTCAATGTATTTCTCTGCCTTACTCTGCAATAAGGTTACATTGGCTTGTGTTCAGTTTTGCTGGACAAGCAAGTCTTTATTTGATGACTTCAGTTCTATCTGCTCATTATTTCTGTGTTTTTATTACATTCTTTTTCACATGTTCAACACACACACACACACACACACACAC